GCAAAGATGGGTGCCACGAGGGAACCCTCTAAGAAGTTGAAGTTGAATGGTTCTATGAAGACCTACAAGATTTTGTAGAATTAACACTCCAAAAACATGTCCTTTTCATTATAGGGGACTGGAACACAAAAGTAGGAAGTCAAGAAATACCTGGAGTAACAGGCAAATTTGGCCTTGGAGTACAGAATGAAGCAGGGCAAAGGCTAATAGAGTTTTGCCAAGAGAACACACTAGTCATAGGAAACACCCTCTTCCTACAACACAAGAGAAGACTCTACACATGGACATCACCAGATGGTCAATACTGAAATCAGATTGATTATATTCTTCGTAGCCAAAGATGAAGAAGCTCTATACAGGCAGAAAAAACAAGATCGGGAGCTGACTGTGGCTCAGATCATGAACTCCTTATTGCCAAATTCAGACTGAAATTGAAGAAAGTCGGGAAAACCACTAGACCATTCAGGTATGACCTAAATCAAATCTCTTATGATTATACAGTGGAAGTGACAAATAGATTCAAGGGATTAGATCTGACAAATACAGTGCCTGAAGAACTATGGATGGAGGTTCATGATATTGTACAGGAGACAGGGAGCAAGACCATCCCCAAGAAAAAGAAATGCAAAAAGTCAAAATGGCTGTCTGAGGAGGCCTTACAAATAGCTGTGAAAAGAAGAGAAATGAAAGGCAAAGAAGAAAACGAAAGATATACCTATCTGAATGCAGAGTTCCAAAAAATAGCGATGAGAGAGAAGAAAGCCTTTCTCAGTGGTCAATGCAAAGAAATAGAGGATAACAATAGAATGAGAAAGACTAGAGAACTCTTCAAGAAAATTGGAGATACCAAGGGAACATTTCATGCAAAGATGGGTACAATAAGGGACAGAAATGGTAGGGACCTAACAGAAGCAGAAGATATTAAGAAGAGGTGGCAGGAATACACAGAACTCTACAAAAAGATCTTCATGACCCAGATAATCACAATAGTGTGATTACTCACCTAGAGCCAGACATCCTGGAATGCGAGGTCAAACGGGCCTTAGGAAGAATCACTACGAACAAAGCTAGTAGAGGTGATGGAATTCCAATTGAGCTATTTCCAATCTTAAAAGATGATGCTGTGAAAGTGCTGCACTCAAATGCCAGCAAATTTGGAAAACTCAACAGCGGCCACAGGACTGGAAAATGTCAGTTTTCATTCCAATCCCAAAGAAAGGCAATGCCAAAGAATGCTCAAACTACCACACAATTGCACTCATCTCACACGCTAGCAAAATAATGTTCAAAATTCTCCAAGTCTGGCTTAAACAGTATGTGAACTGTGAACTTCCAGATGATCAAGCTGGATTTAGAAAAGGCAGAGGAACAAGAAATCAAATTGCCAACATCTGTTGGATCATTGAAAAAGCAAGAGAGTTCCAGAAAAACATCTACTTCTGCTTTATTGACTATGCCAAAGCCTTTGACTGTGGGATCACAACAAACTGTGGAAAATTCTTCAAGAGATGGGAATACCAGACTACCTGACCTGCCTCAATTCATGTCCATTGAGTCGATAATGCCATCCAGTCATCTCATCCTCTGTCATCTCCTTCTCCTCTCACCTTCAATCTTTCCTAGCATGAGGGTGTTTTCAAATGAGTCAGTTTGCATCAGGTGGCCAAAGTATTGGAGTTTCAGCTTCAGCATCAGTCCTTCCAATGAATACCCAGGACTGATTTCCTTTAGGATGGACTGGTTGTATCTCCTTGCAGTCCAAGGGACTTTCAAGAGTCTTCTCCAACACCACAGTTCAAAAGCATCAATTCTTTGGTGCTAAGCTTTCTTTATAGTCCAATTCTCACATCTATAACATGACGACTACTGGAAAATTACAAAAACATTTCAGGCTCCTCTGTCCTCCACTCTCTCCAGGAGTTTGCTCAAATTCATGTCCATTGAGTCAGTTAGTTTTATTTGGAATGCACTGTAGAGACGTTTGACATACGTCACTGAAAAGAATGACATGAGACCTATGTTGATTCTAGGGTCTGCCTGGATAAAGTAATTTTCATTGTCCCTGACATCAGTTATATCTCAATACCAAATTTCTGAGAAATCACCCTAGGAAACGCTCTCCACTGACTATTCTGACAAATTATAGTCATTTACAGGTGACACCTTCTCAGTTCAGATGTCATTTGGACCCAGAGACTGTATTGCCTGTTCCTGTTTCACAGGTTCTGGGACCTGCTCATTTTTTACACCTGTATCACACAAGCAAGAGTTTCCTTTTCTATGTATTATGTTAAACATGATCCTACATCACACACAAATTAAAGGGTTCAAAAAGGGAAGGCTATGACCAAGTTTTCAATTGAACTGGGAGTAACACAAAGCCTAGTTATTCCAGAGCTATTGCTCAGGTTGCAAAATTAAAACTTTTTACCTAACTTAATCATGTATGTGAAGAGTTTGCTTACATTTGTTTGTATCAGAAGCCAAATAATCATATACTTACACAGTGTTGGCAATGAGATGTTTCAGTTAGTACAGCCCTTTGAAAAATGATTTGGTAATGTGCATCAGGGATAATACATGCTTGTACCTTTTGAATTGGTATTTTAAATTTTACCCTAGGTAATTTTTAAATATTGGGGGGAAAGTTGTGTGCAGGAATATTTCCTTCACAGTATTTTTTAGGTAGTGAAAAATTAGAGGCAGAGTATGTAACAACAGGCACTTAGTAGATGGTTATGCCTATTTAATAGAATATCATGAAATTACTAAAATATTCATTGGAAAAACTATAATATGGGAAAAGGAAGAATAAAAGTTGAATTTATACTATGATTTTAGCTACTTAAAACACAAATATAAGAGAATATACAAAAATAATAAAAGTTGTGTTAGGGTTATGAAATTTTTCCTTCTATTTTTAAAATTTTTTCTAATTATGCACAAATGTTTTATTGTTTAAAGTAAGCTTAAGCATTAGCAACATTTGCTTAAAATTTTTATTCTTAGAATCACACATCATTGGCAATCCATGCTGAAATGGTACATAATTTCTGTTTACTAATGTTCAGCTGTTGGCAAAGTCAATTTTTTAGCTAAGCAAATGTCAGTTGTTCCCATTGCACTTCTAAAATTACAATACAGCTATGAAATAATTGGCAGGGAAGGGTACTTTGGGGTAAACATGGAGAAAAGTCAAAGATTAAGAAAAGGAAAATGTCCACCTTTCCAGTCAGTGACAAAATCAGTGATAGGAATAGGACCCAGTTTGAGATCTTACTTCTTAGAATGCACAGTACTAGTGTGCAAGATAGCAAATAATTAGGATGAAATCTGGTAAGTACTTGCATAGGCCACTGAACAGGCTAGGGGAAGATTTGGGAACTAGAGTAGGTATTCTAGATAAAGTAGATCCAAGAGCAAAGGTTTTTTTGTTGTTTTTTCAAAAATCAGGGTGTGTTCAGAGAGCAGAGTAATCCCAGTGTCCTTAAAATAGGCTACCTATAACCTGCAGGATTGAAGAATCAGCCCGCAAGGCAGTAGAGGTGGGTTCCATCCCTGAGTTGGGAAGATTGCCCTGGAGAAGGAAATGGCAACCCACTCCAGTATTCTTGCCTGGGAAATCCTATTGACTGAGGAGACTGGCGGGCTACAGTCCATGTGGTTGCAAAAGAGTCCGACATGACTTAGCAATAAATGATTAAACAGCAATAAAACCTACAGGATGGGTAGAAGCAGGTAATAAGAGATTAGTGGATGCTGAAGTTGGTCAGTCGCTAAGTCGTCTCTGACTTTTTTGCGAACCCATGAACTGTAGAACACCAGGCTCCTCTGTCCTTCACTCTCTCCTGGGTTTGCTCAAATTCATGTCCACTGAATGGGATGGTTTTATTTGGAATGCACTGTAGAGACGTTGAAGATATGACATGAGACCTACACTGGTTCTAGGATCTGCATGGAATTAACTGAAAGGGAGATGAGAGGAAGAATAAGTTATGAGGACTCTGCTATAAACCATGATCTTCATTACATAAAATTACCTGGATTAGCACCCCCAGAATATATTTAAAATGGTTTAACCACGTTCTAATCAAGTTTTAGATCATTTGGGGTACTAATAGAATTAGCACATAATGTTGAATCAGATTGCAAAAGATTGTTTTAACTCTGTGGCCAGATTCAAAGTATTGAAACCAATAAATATGTTGAAAAGGCAAATTCTCAAAAGTAAAAGGATTTGTAATTCTAGAAGGCAGCAGATTATCAATAGCTGCATCCACATTCTGTGGAGTGGTGGGTTGCTTTAAGACATAACAGTCTCACGAGGAAGTAAAATTTTCTAAAGTATATACTGCTTTAACCTTCTAGGCAATTGGGGGTGTTGCTGAACAAAGACCTTAAAAAAGCTAGCTATATCCGTTAACAGCAGACAAGACTTTTTTGTTTAACGCGTTTAGATTTTTAAAGTTTCTTGTCCTAGAATATATCAGAATCCATTTAGAATATGGATTCAGGCCCAAAGCCTTCCTGACTTAATAGAGAAGCAGATGCTGCTGCCACCGTAAGAACGGCTCAAAATCACTCCCTAGATGTGGCAGTACCTAAACGTTTAATAAAAATTTACTAACCAAGTACTCTGAATTACTGGGCTAGGAGATCTTTCATCTCGGAAGCAATCATTTTAGGGTACCAAACTACCCACGTCTGGGCCGAGCCTCCGGCTTTTGTTTACAAACACAGAGGAAGGAGCGCCGCGGTCCATTAAGTCGCAGGGCCGCGGAGAGGGCATCCCTCCTGGGAAGCGAGGCCGGTTCCCCCAGGAGGGCGGGGCGGGGAAAGGAGCCCTCCGCCCGCCGCGGGCCCAGCAGCCTCTGCCTTCCAGGCATCCCGAGCTGCCCTCGCTCCCAGTCCCCGCCGTCTCATTTGCCACCTCCCAACGCGTGACCCCGGCGCGTCGCGTCCCGGGCCGGTGTCAGACGCGGGGTGCGCCAAGCGGTCCCATGTGCCCCCTCCCTCTCGCGGCCGCCGCAGTCACCGCGCCCCGAACCCCGCTCCGGCTCCTCGGCAGAGGGCTCGCCGCCGCCATGTCTACCGCCCGGCCACTCAAATCCGTGGACTACGAAGTGTTCGGGAGAGTGCAGGGTAGGGGACCGCCCTACGCGGGAGGTCAAAGAGGTATTGGGGAGGAAGACTAGAAAGCTGCGACAAGCACAGCCCATCTCTAGGAGCCCCTGCCACCTTGTGGCTGGGACTTCCGCCCGGCCATGACACAGCAGGAACGGGCGGGAAGGAGACCAAGGGAGCATGCGCAGGAGAGCTGGGGTGGGCGGGGGAGGAGAGCGGAGACTCCTTAGGGAGAAAGGCTGGGAGAAGAGGGAACAGCCGGGCGCTGGGAGTGGGCCACCTAAGCGGGTGCACGGGGACCGGATCAAGAAGGCAAACTGAAGTGGGGGAGGGAAAGAGGAGGGTCCTTGAAATAGTGATCCCCGTTACTTGCCAGTGAAACTACTGTGGTTGACTTGTTTCCGAATAGACTCCTAGATGGTGTTGGAGGCTTCATTTTGTAGGATGATAATACTTTTGCTGGTGTAGCTCCTAAAGGAATTACTAAGTTGTTATCTTCTTTCTGTTACGTCATAAGTTTAAATCGTTGCAAAGGATGTAATGTCAGGCTTATAGGAACTACCATTATTTCTAAATTAAAATGTTAAAAATCACTGAAATTTATCCAGTGGAATATAAATATGGTGGTGATTTAATATTTGCCATCATTGATTCAAAACAGGAAGTGTTCAGTTCAGTTCAGTCACTGAGCAGTTTTGGATTTCTTGGGACTCCGTGGCCTGCAGCTTGCCAGACTTCCCTGTCTATCACCAACTCCTGGAGCATGCTCAAACTCATGTCCAAAGAGCTGGTGATGCCATCCAGCCATCTCATCCTCTGTCATCCCCCTCTCCTCCTGCCTTCAGTCCTTCCCAGCATCAGAGTCTTTTCAAATTAGTCAGTTCTTTACATCAGGTGGCCAAAGTATTTGAGTTTCAGCTTCAGCGTCAGTCCTTCCAATGAATATTCAGGACTGATTTCCTTTAGGATGGACTGGTTAATCTCCTTGCAGTCCAAGGGACTCTCAAGAGTCTTCTCCAATACCACAGTTCAAAAGCATCAATTCTTCTGGGCTCAGCTTTCTTTATAGTCCAACTCTCACATCCGTACATGACTACTGGAAAACCATAGCTTTGACTAGACTAGATTTGTTGGCAAAGTAATGTCTCTGCTTTTTATTATGCTGTGTAGGTTGGTCATAGCTTTTCTTCCAAAGAGCAAGTGTCTTTTAATTTCATGGCTGCAGTCACCATCTGCAGTAATTTTGCAGCCCAAGAAAATAAAATCTGTCATCATTTCCATACATTTGCCATGAAGTAATGGGACAGGATGCCATGATCTTCATTTTCTGAATGTTGAGTTTAAAGCCAACTTTTTCACTCTCCTTTTTCACTTTCATCAAGAGGCTCTTTAGTTCTTCTTTGCTTTCTGCCATAAGGGTGGTGTCATCTGCATATCTGAGGTTATTGATATTTCTCCCGGCAATCTTGATTCCAGTTTGTGCTTCATCCAGCCCAGCATTTTGCATGATGCACTCTGCATATAAGTTAAATAAGCAGAGTGACAATATACAGCCTTGACGTACTTCTTTCCCAATTTGGAACCAGTCTGTTGTCCCCAGTTCTAACTGTGCCCAGTTCTAACTGTTGCTTCTTGACCTGCATACAGATTTCTCAGGAGACAGGTAAGGTGGTCTGGTATTCCCATCTCTTTTAAAAGAATTTTCCACAGTTTGTTGTGATCCACACAGTCAAAGGCTTTGGCATAGTCAATAAAGCAGAAGTAGGTGTTTTTCTGGAACTCTCCTGCTTTTTTGATGATCCAGTGGGTGTTGGCAATTTGATCCCTGGTTCCTCTGACTTTTCTAAATCCAACTTGAATATCTGGAAGTTTACCGTTCACATACTGTTGAAGTCTGGCTTGGAGAATTTTGAGCATTACTTTGCTTGCATGAGTGCAATTGTGTGGTAGTTTGAACATTATTTGGCATTGCCTTTCCTTGTGATTGGAATGCAAACTGACCTTTTCCAGTCCTGTGGCCACTGCTGAGTTTACCAAATTTGCTGGCATATTGAGTGCAGCACTTTCACAGCATTGTCTTTGAGGATTTGAAATATATCAACTGGAATTCCATCACCTCCACTAACTTTGTTCATAGTGATGCTTCCTTCCTAAGGTCCACTTGACTTTGCATTCCAGGATGTCTGGCTCTAGGTGAGTGGTCACACCATCATGGTTAAATGGGTCATGAAAATCTTTTTTGTACAGTTCTTCTGTGTATTCTTGCCACCTCTTCTTAATATCTTCTGCTTCTGTTAGGTCCATACCATTTCTGTCCTTTATTGTGCTAATCATTGCATGAAATATTCCCTTGGCATCTCTGATTTTCTTGAAGAAATCTCTAGTCTTTCCCCATTCAGTTGTTTCCTCTATTTCTTTGCATTGATCACTGAGGAAGGCTTTCTTACTTCTCCTTGCTATTCTTTGGAACTCTGCTTTCAGATGGGTATATCTTTCCTGTTCGCCTTTGCCTTTAGCTTCTCTTCTTTTCTCAGCTATTTGTAGGGCCTCCTCAGACAACCATTTTTGCCTTTTGCATTTCTTTTTCTTGGGAATGGTCTTGATCCCTGCCTCCTGTACAATGTCGTGAACATCTGTCCATAGTTATTCAGTTACTCTGTCTATCAGGTCTAATCCCTTGAATCTATTTGTCACTTCCACTGTATAATCATAAGGGATTTGATTTATGTCATACCTAAATGGTCCAGTGGTTTTCCCTATTTTCTTCAATTTAAGTCTGAATTTGGCAATAAGGAGTTCACAATCTAAGCCACAGTCAGCTCCCGGTCTTGTTTTTGCTGCCTGTATAGAGTTTCTTCATCTTTGGTTGCAAAGAACCAGTCTGATTTCAGTATTGACCATCTGGTGATGTCCGTGTGTAGAGTCATCTCTTGTGTTGTTGGAAGAAGGTGTTTGCTATGACCAGTGCATTCTCTTGGCAAAACTCTATTAGCCTCTGCCCTGCTTCATTTTATACTCCAAGGCCAAATTTACCTGTTCCTCCAGGTATTTCTTGACTTCCTACTTTTGTATTCCAGTCCCCTATAATGAAAAAGACATCTTTTTGGGGGTGTTAATTCTAGAAGGTCTTGTTGGCCTTCATAGAACCGTTCGACTTCAGCTTCTTCAGCATTACTGGTTGGGGCATAGACTTGGATTCCTGTGATATTAAATGGTTTGACTTGGAAAAGAACAGAGATCATTTTGCCATTTTTGAGATTGCAGCCAAGTTTTCATCATACTTTTTTCTGTTTGAATTTGATTTCCATTCAATTTCCCCCACAGAATTTTACCTGAGTGTTATGGTTTAGTGGTTCTGATTGGTGACCCACTGAACTTTTCTGCAGTTTGTATGTACATATATATGTATGTATAATATATTTTCTTAATTTCCTTTGACCATAAAGTTCTATTCTTCTTTTTTTTATTTATTCTGGCTTAAGTTACTATTGTGACTCTTATCAGAACACATTTGATGAAAATAATATAAATATATTTAAAAGTATGATAAACATTATTTAGAAGTTAAATTTGTTTGGAAATTTATTTCTTCAGGAGAAAGCTGGGGGTGTTTCATGAAACCTTGATTAGAGGGTTAAATTATCTTTGTATTTTGATACTTAGAGGTTTTTGCACCTTGGGGCAATGTACCTGAATAAGCTAAAGAATGGGTGAAAGTATGTCTTTTGCAAAGAAATAGGCCCTTTTTTCAAATGTTAACTGGAAAGGGACATAGGAAAAGAAAATAAAGACAGACTACTGTTGTCTCCTCAAGACAGGTCAGTTTTAGAGGGAAAAAATATATATGGTATAAAGAAATTGATTATTTAAAATTATTCATGCCTTGTACCCTTCCTGCCTTACCATGTCTTTGGTATACCCAGGGACATGGTAATCTACATTGAAAACGGACACAAAGAGTCATTGAAACACATAAAATATGACATAAAATATGAAAATGGTGACAAGGGTCACTTGACAAAGTATTTTGTTTACTAAACAGATATGGGAGTAGTTGAGTGTGTGTGTGCACATGCACGTGTATGACATTTACTGAGAGTGTTCCATGTGCTGAGCATCCTACTGCATGTGCGCTCAGTCATTTGTGTCTGACTCTTTGTGGCCCTGTGGACCACTGGCTGCCAGGCTGCTCTGTCCATTCGATTCTCCAGGCAAGAATACTAGAATGGGTTGCCATGCCCTTCTCCAGAGGATCTTCCTGACCCAGGGATTGAACCTGAGTCTCTTATATCACCTACATTGGCAGGTGGGTGCTTTACCACTAGCACCACCTGGGAAGCCCCATACACAAACAGTCAGGTTTAAAAGTCAGCTTTAGGGCAATAATCTCTGTTGTTTACAGTGTATTAAGTGGAAAAGAGTTGTTTTTCAGTCATTAAGTTGTGAGAGTACATGCATACTATTGGCTTATCAAGGCCTCGTATGTGGGACAAACCCATAGTCACATATTTGCACATATATACACTGACATTTGCTGAGGATTTAGGATGTGCCAAGCTCTGTACTCATTTAATCCTCAACCCTATGACCTCAGCCAGCTTCCTCATTTAACAAGTAGAGAAATTAAGACATAGTGAAATAACTTTTCCAGGTTACAGTGAGTTAAGTGGTGGCAGTGGGATTTGAACCATGGCCAGAGCCCATGCTCTTAGCCACTATATCCTATTGCTTCTCCTCTCAATGCCCTTTCCATATTTATTTTGCCTTTCTCCTAACCTACGCACTGAGCATGTACATAAACTGATGTAGGACATTTGGACCTGGACAGCTAGAGCATTCCAGATAACGCTAAGGATGTTTTTATGGTCATTTTGGCTCCAAGGACACTTGACCTGGTCAGTAAGCAGTCAGCTTATTCAAAACTGCAGTCTCTGACTCTGTTACTTGTTGGCACTGTTCCCGGTCTGTGTCTCTCTGTGTCTTACAGAACTGCTCACAGTGTTCTAGTGGCTTACCTA